AAACAAGTATACTCATTAAATAAACAAGCGGACATAGACAATTTTAACCCATAGCCATATATATTACTGCATATCTAAGCAGTCATTTTTTTCTTCTTGAACATATACACTCATGGTTTTCTCATTGCTGTCTTTAATCCTTGTGTGTCTTTTTGTAATTTTACAGTTCTTTGATCAAGTTTTACACCTGTTATTTATTTATTTTTCACACATTTGGTTTAACATCTATGTGTCATGGCTCTCCACATCTTCCTATCCTTTGTAACTCTTAATATATTTTGTCCTCTTGCTATCTCTCCTAAACCATGTCCTGCCATCCATTTACTCAAGCTCACTATGTGGTTTATGTGCTGTTTTTTCTCTGCCCCTCTTGTCTTCAGTCTTTTCTGTGAGTATCAAATTTTCCAAACCCTCTTTCCTCATTATGTGACATAGAAATTTTAACTTTCTCTTCCTGATGTTCAATATAAGTTTTGTTTTTGTTGCCATTGTCTTTAGAACTTCGTCATTGCTAACATGTTTCATCCACAGTGTTCTCAGTATCCTTCTGTAGAACAACATTTCTATTGCTTCAAGTTTCTTCTTCATCTGTGAGGAGTGGGGTAAAATGTTGCTATTTTCTGGTTGTTTGTGGACAAGTGTTAGAAATTTTAATGGGTGTGGCTCCCAATTGTGACAGGGAGAGAGTAAGAACTTTCCAAGTAAAAGTATCTAAAACTAAGAATTCTTATGCATATACTCTTATTACCTCAAACATTATTATAATGGATACTTCTTATTTGAAATAGATGCCCCATTTTTAAGTGAAGTGCCCAATATCATAACACTTTAAGTAATAACAATGCCAGATTAAAAGTGAATCCATTAGTCTTTTATAAATACTCTTAAATAAAGAACAAGATGAGAGAAAGAGAAGTATAATTATGCTTGTACAAACAACTTGAAAAAGGGAAAGAGAAACATTTATGTGCTTAGCTATTTGTGCGTGTGTGATGTGCCAGGTGCTTGTTTGAAATTTAGAAGTTGGCTTGCCACTGCAATTAAGAGGGGAGTGCTCAGCACATCTACCTGGAGGAAGAAAAGAGAGAGTAAGTGTTTATGTATCTTCTTTTACAGCCCTGAATAGAATGCTACCTAGTGTATTAAGTGAAATCCATTGTCAGACAAGGTATGGTAATCCCCACAACAGTAATGAAAATACAGGTATACATTTGGTTGGGGGTGGGGTCAGAACAGTTCTTGAAACTGATTAAAATATATGCTTGTGCCCCCACCACCTCAGTATGGTGCTTATTAGGGTGTCATCATTCCTTTCACCTTATTTTGCCTCCACCCTTCAACAAGGAAAAAAAAAAATTCCCTTTTGTTATTTTTCATTGTTTCACATTTAGTTCATTTCTTTTATTTTGATTGACAAACAAAAGTTTAAAACAAGGAAAATATTTTAGTATATTTAGATATTTTAGTACACAAACATCGAAATAATTTCCAAAATTTTAATCAACACCACCACAGAACTAAAACTCAAAATATCTTTAATTTTGTTACCTCCCAGCCCCTGTTAAGGGTAAAATAAGTAGATGAACTAGTTCTTAAATTTTTAAAAATATTTTACAAATTTTTCACCTTTGAGAGTCAAGTTAAAACGAATTTCTGTGAGTCCTGGAGATAAATGACTTGTATTCATTCTGCTTTCCCAGAATCCAGTTTGTTGATTATTCACGGTGTGCAGCTGGAGAAATGAATAGCAGCCCAGAATGAGAAATCAGAGAGTTGTATTAGAATTCCAGCTGAATTTGTTATAATCACTCACTTGGTAAAGGTATGAATCCATCACTTCTCTCCCCAACTATGGGTTAAATAGTATGACTTGTATCTGAAAAAAAAAAAATCATTATCTCTAATAAATTGTTATTGCAATATTCACTTGCCAAAAAATATGGATCAGTAAGACATAAAAGAAAATCAACAATATTGATTATTTGGGGTTTTTTCTTAGGTCAAGAACCACCAACTATTCCCTGTAGAAGTGATTTTTATACATGTATATAGTCACTCAAAGCAAACATTGCAAGTTTGTAAGTCATAAGTTCAATGCTTTCTTCACTCTGACAAATGTCAGGAGCTTGCTAAACCAAGTCTTGTGAACTAGATGAGTTTGAGGATTAACAGACGTTCCAAGACAAACAAACATCTCAATATCATGACACTTCTATACTGCCATAATTTCATGCCCCATTTCCTACTTTCATTTGACTTTGTTTACCAATATTTCTTTCAAATCACGGACCACCTTTTTCTGCTGTTGGCTCGTTGCACCTTGGGAACACCTCAAAGTGCACATCAGGTAGCATTTGTTATTTTCAGATAGAGAAAACAAATCTGACCTTTTCCAATTCCATCTCATTAACAATCGTGAGAATCTAGGTCAAAAAACAATTTCTACTGCTCTATTAATTTGTAAGAAAAAGGACAGACAAATGTATGAAATTCTTTAGGCTATTGAAAATTCCTGGTTTTGATGGCTGAAGGCAAAACATATCTGTGGACTCCTTCCCTATGGTTTGGAATCATTCTTCTCTTAATTTTAATTTCTCTCTCTATATATATATATATATATATATATATATATATATATATATATATATATATATATATATATATGCAATAATAATATATATATTTTTATATATCAAGAATAATATTGGGGAAAAATGTATGAAAAAGAGGAAAATGATTTCTTGTAATGCGTTTTGTTTTGGATTTAATTAGATAAAATTTATGTTGGTGTGACTACACATGTGCATGAATGTGGGATGCTGGGAATTTAAAATTTTTAATTTTTTTTTTTTTTAACCTAGCCAATTTCGTTTAGATTCTTTTTCTTTCAACACTTTTATTAGTAGTTATCCCACACTGTGATAATAGAAGTTCTGCCAGGAAGGGTGAAATGTAAGAGTGTGGATGACCTTACGAGCAAGGCACTCTCTTAACATTTTGGTCATAGAAGAATAAAAAATTTTAAAATTTAAATATTATATATATATATATATATACACACTCACTCACTATATAAGGTTTTTCTTAAATACGCAAGTACTTCTGACTGTAGCATTCATGGGGTGATTAGTAGTTTTTTGTCTTTTTTACTTTTTGCCTTGTCTTTGTTTTTTGTCTTTTTTGTTTTGTTTTTTACCTTTTGTCTTTGTTTTTGTGCCTTGTGTTTTTTTTCTTTATCTGTTTTGTTTTTCCTGATGGTTTTGATGGCATGAGTTTTTAATCTAACTCTAGCAGCGATTAAGAAGGCGCATTAGTGGTGAGAAAGAAACCTAGTGTTCATGCCTGTCTCAGTCGTACCAACAAGAATCCGTTCATAGAAATGAGGAGAGAGTAAATTTTTTCCTAGTTTCTTCATCACTTGTCCAATTTATGCCATGCTTCCTTGATTTACGTTCTGGGAAGCCTGTCTTCATATTTCCACAATCAACAAAAATGAAGTCTGGTGAAAAGTCAGTTCAAGGGAATGTTTCTGAAGAATTCCCTTGCATTCTTTAGAAACTTCTAATGCCAAGACTGGTATTTTGCTTGTTAGAATTCCTCAAATGTTTTATTCTTTGTCTTTTGTATTTAATACTTTGTTTGCTTTTTATCTTGAAGCTAGAAAAAGTAGAAAAATAGGATCTCATCATTTTTGAAGTCTTGCTTGACTTAAAAAATTTTGTATGTGTGCTATAAATATATATATATATATATATATATATATATATATATATATATATATATATAAAATGTCCAAATGCAAAGAGAATGCAATGAATATAAATTCAAACATTCATAACATTAATTTAAAAGGGAGCTCAATACAAAAAGTAGAGCAATGATTCTTTATTATAGGTTATTACAGTCGAACAAAAAACATTATTGTTTTGATGCACAACATGGCATCTCATCAGGCAGTGGTAAAAGATGATTGATAACCATCTTTTACCACTGCCACTTCCAATTCTAAATAAGATTGTTTATTACCATCATTGTTAATTACCTGAAGAGACGTTTTATTTAAACGTCAACAAAATATAGAATTTTGTAGTAGTAACCTACAGGTTCTAATGTAACAGTTTATAATAAATATTTATTGGTCTACTCTTGTTGTACTGAGCCCTGTTTTAAATTAATGTTTTGAACATTGGAATTTTATTCTTCGTTCTTTTACATTTGCAGATTATATATATATATATATATATATATATATATAATGAAAAGTAAATGCTTTTACAATAAAATTGCTATTAACAAACCAATGTTGGTAAAATTTGAGGGATCTATGAGCAATATATCATTTCAGTTTCTCATATTTATTGTCATCAAATATATTAATAACTTGTTTTGGAGGTTGCCTGAAGCAATATAAATTCTTTTACAAATAAATCCAAAAGTTACTGTCTATAGAATCATATATTAACACAGTATCTCATGTACTTGGATAATTTATTTTATTTTACATATTAATATTCACTCCTTGACACTTAATGACCTTCATTAATTTTTCAATCATTGATTTTATCTTTTCTACTATTTAGAATTTAGCATTACTTGCAATGGTTTTTATTGCATCCCAGACATCTTCTATGCTTGAATATTGTTTTCCATTCTTATAAACATCTTTTAATAATGGCCTACAAGTTTTTATTTGTTTAATCATAGACCATGAGCTATCTGTTAGTTTAATAGTCACAGAACCATCCTTTGAATTTGATGTTTTGAGAACTGTACCAATCAAAAATATCTTTCCCAAGTGAGGCCTTCATCACATTTGAAGGTCTTCCCTCAAACCTATAATTTTATTGACACCAATATTTACCCAATAACATTATTCCCCACCCACCAACTTGTCTTCTAATTCATACTGGGCGACTATTTCAACAGTCCTGATACTTTTTGATCTGTAGGGAGGTTTATTGTTCCACTGGGCTTCATAGTTAAGACATTGTAAGAAGGCTTATGCCCACATCATGTTGAAATACCAGTTCCCATATGTTCACTGAAGTTAAGCATTGTTGATCCTGGTCAGTACAGAGATGGGTGACTGCTTGGGAATACCAGGTGGGGTGCTGTAAGCTTCAGGTGGTGTAATGGATAATGGCTTGAATGGTACTTAGATCTCCTAAGTATACTTCCTGAGATGTGTTCTTCTCTAAGCAGTTTCTACTAGTGTAATGGTATTTTAGTAATATAATAATTGTACTATAATTCTTCCAAAAATTTCTCTTTATCAGTATGTTAAAGGAAATGTTTGCTCTCATCTCATTTATTAGTTTTTTACCATTTTTTTTCCTACTCATCAGATACGAGTAACATTTTGTTTAATGAAATCAAAATTGTTTGCAATGATTGGTCTTCTCTCTTGAACTGTAATGTTTGTTTGTAAGTAAACCGTCAAAGGGTTATCAGAAAGAGAGAAACAGACTTTATTATGATAGTCTGTATGGAAGGAGCCATTATTGTTGAGCCTAGTATACCAAGTTAAGTCCTTTTTACATATTGTGACCTTGTTTCAGACTATCAATAAGTATACCATATTATGAAGTAGCTTATATACAAATATAGTCTAAGGTATGACGATAAACTATACTCAACAGCAAGGCCTCTGATTGGAAGATTAGAGGTTCTAAAAAATGTAAAACTACCTCTTAATTCTTGTTTTTCCCAGGTTCACCCAGACCCGGGGTGGTAGCACTTGTTAAGGTCCTATGGGCAAATAGTGACCCCCACCCTTAATCAAAAATAAAAACACTATGGAAGTATGAAAATACCAGCAATACAGTTTTATGTAAAAAAAAAAAAAATTATCAACAATACATATTTAGTAAACTTACCAATAATACAATTTTATGGCAAAAGACCAACAATACAATTGTGTTCAAAATATATTTAGTCGAAGCCATAATATTATGTTACAAAATATTTCGGTATTTAGTGACCCATAAGACGTTAATATGTCGTTAAACAAACAAACAAACCAATCAATCCTAACAGTACTAGAAATATTGGTTAACTCTGCAAAAATAATGTAGGACTAAAATTGACTCCAAGAAACACTTACAAAATCATGCCCTCGTTCAAACACAATAAATCGACCATGATTGTTTTTTTTTCTTCTCTAAAATTTTGAGCCTAGTCTTCAAATTCATAACTTTCTGGTTAGAATATGCCTAGTTGATGGCCTTACATCTTAGCAGAGGTACTGTTGGTATATTATACAGTCCCAGTCAACACTGACAATATATCTAGTAAAAGGCATACAATTGCATTCAAATTATTTAGATTTCAACATTAAATAATCCATAGAGGTTGATATGCTGCTAAAGAAAATGAAATCAACCAACCATTATTTACAAATAAGCCACAAAAGCTAATTTAATATTTTAAAGTGATTTTGGTCCTCACTGATTGCTTGTAGTATTGAAATAAAACTAAATTCAACATTGTAAATATCAATAAATTTACCTTAACATGGAATAGTGGTTAGCAAACAAGATTTCTTCATTTGGTTTGTGGTTGATTTTGTTTAGCGCCATATCAACACCTCTATGGGTTATTTAATGCTGAAATGTAAATATTTTGAATACAATTGCATGCCTGCAACTACATATAAAATGTATTTTTGGTTATTTTATAAATTGTTGATAATTCTATTATAAATAGATATTTTTACACTTTCATAGTTTTGTCTTTGTGGGTTGACTATTTGCCTATAGTTGAGAACTTAACAGGTGCTACCAACCCAGATTATGGTGGTCTCTGAGCACAATAGCAATTAAGAGGTGGTTCCATGCTCCTTGAAACCTCCAATCTCCCAATTAGAGGCCTTGCTGCTGGATGTAGTTTATCGTCATACCCAGGACAAGATTTATTTATTTGAAATGAGATAAAATATAAACATATTGGTTTAGGCTTCCCTGATTTGTAACACTTAAAAATAGCAGACTTATTAACTTATTATTATTATTTTTTTTTTTTTTTTAAATAATTCCTTGGCCCATACCATTTGATGTACTTTGGAATTTTCAAAGGCTCAAAAGGCTAACCAATCCTGGAGAGAGTAGAATCTAACACAGGGCTTTTTAACCAAGGGTTTCAGGAGGTCTGTAAGGTTCAGATAAAGATTAACTTTTATAGTCACTATACAGCTCTTGTCCCAAACAACGTTTTCCCATTAAAAGAAATAAAAGAGAATGCATTTTGCCAATGCTTGAAAGAAAATGCATCCAGCCACTACTTTCAGTGCTGACTGCTACGTGTCTCTTGACTTGCTGTTGAGCCCATGTTTACCTTTTAAATGTGTCATCATTCTCTGCATGACCATGACCTTTTGCCACTCCATAAGTGAGAGCGATAATTTTCATTTTCTACAGTTTATCACAGCTTGATTATCGTCTCATATACTGGTGAGGATTAATTGACCACAATTTCATTCAAGCATGGTTAACTGAAAAGGGATGTGTGTGCAATGTGCATGAGGGTGCAGTATGAATAAATGCATGTACAAGTGTTGTGAAAAACCAATCAGACTGTAAGTATCAGCTTGTGAGTCTATGAAGTGCTAGTTCTTATTAGGGTCTGTGACCAAAAGTGTCTGTGACTCAAAAATGGTTAACAACCACTGGTCTAGCTAGAGACCAAACAAAGGTTTGTTAACTATTCCTAAATAAGAATTACAGGTAGCAACTCTTGGAAAATAAAATTGTCAGGTGTGCAGTTGGTAAAGATGAACTAGAGATTCTTTACTTTGTTTATTTTCAGTTTTTTTTTTTAATCATAATCAATTTCAAGAAAATTCCTGTATTTTATTTTTATTTTTTTTTTTACTTATTTAATACACTCAATATGACAACTTTTGATGATCCAAACTCTTGTAAATGTTTTCAATGACTGAGGATCAGATTTTCTTATACCTTGCATTTTAAAGAATCATAATCATGAATTGACGGTCATGCAATTTATGCTTTATTTCAAGAGACAAGTCACTACCCTTAAATTGCTTTAATTAGTTTTGAGCAGTAGATTGAAGTCTTGTTTCATTATGTAAGAGATGGTTGTTAGATGTGAGTATTAAATAAGCTTTGTTTAAAATAAAAGGAAAACATATTTCCATAAATAAATTCAATTATCAAACCCTCCTGATGAATGGATACGATATCTGTGAAACTCCAAATGGGGAAAGATAAGTTGAACATTTAATCTTAATTGTTTCTGTTGATGTTCTCTCTTGATATTGAGCACTTTAATTACAAAGACTGATCGCCATTAAATTGTCATCCCATGGAAAAATATGAGTTGGTTTTTTTTTTTTTTTTTTTTTTTTTAACCCAATATATAACAAAAATTGTTTTTTAAAAAAAAATCTAGAAAAAACAAAAAAATTATCTTTGGATAGTCCCCCAAAAAATAAATTTATTTTATGTATGAAACATAATGTCTTGTGTGCTAATAAGATGTGAAAACACTCCACAGTAAATTTCCCCAGTGCATGTGATACGACAGACCAGGAGCTAACAGTATAGAAGTAAGGCTTGCTGTCCAGTGAAAACAGTAGTGGACTGCCTTGAAACCTAAAACTTTAAAAAGAATATATAGGACACCTGTCATGACATGGTGATTAACAAACTAGTCTCCCCATTCATTTTGTGTGTGGGTGTGAGAGAGTAAATACTCAGAGGGTACTCAAGGTTCTTGTGCCAGACTAAGTTAAATAGATACTTTTCCCTGTGGTGCAATGATTAGTAATCTGGTCCAGCAGACAATTATGTCTGATTAGTAAGTTGGAAAAACATCACTAAAGTGGAATGAAAAATAAAGGATTAAAATTGTTGTGATCTTTTATATATTAGGAAAATTAAAGACAAAGGGGAAAAACATTTTTGTGTGACATGTTTCATCCTTAAGGATTTCATAAGACTAGATGGTGCTACTACATATGTGTACAAAGGGGAGGGGCCTGTCCTGGGTATGATGATAAACTACATCTGTGTCCTGGGTATAACGATAAACTATGTCTAATAGCAAGGCCTCTGCTCAGGAGGTTTTGAGGAGTATGCAACTACCTCTTAATTGCTAGTGTTCCCAGGTCCACCCTGACCCAGGGTGGTAGCACCTGTTAGGGTCCCAGCTATGGGCAAATAGTTAGCCCCAAAACTGAGGTAAAAAGCCTTATGACAGTGTAAAAATAGGTTTTAATACCAGAAATATTTGTAAAAAAATTATTACCAGAAATAAATTTTTCAAGGAAAAAAAAAAAAACTATTACCAGCTACATACATTTTTGAGGAAAAAAATATTACTAGAAATAGATTTTTGACAAAACAAAATATTAGCAGAAAAAAAAAAAGTTGTCAGCATTAAAAATGACCCATTGGTGTTGATATGCCGTGAAACAAAATAAACCAAACCAAAGGCGAGGGGATGCCAAAATTTTAAACTTTTAGATTTTTTTTTTTTTTTTTTTTAAATGTGTTTGGGTGTATAGTCTAGCCAATTTCATTTATTTTATTTGTTTCCTTTTTCTTTGATTTTATTACTTTTCTTATTTTAATAGGACTAAATAGGTTCATCTATCGCTCAGTTCACACTCCTCTCCAGTCTTTTGAATAAGAATAGTTCAAATTGATTATTTTGTTCCAAACTGGTATTATTATCAAGTGAAAGAGCAGCATGCCAACAAAGTGACCCCTGGGTACAAATATACAAAGTTCAATATACCCAACATGACACCTAGTTTGATAAGTGAATAATAAACACATGCACCACAGCCAAATATTCACCATATGGGGGATAAGTTTGGATAAGCAATGTCTCCTCAGTCTTTTGAACAGGAGTAGAGATTTATCATTTGTTCCTTGTTTAGAATTGGGTTTCTAGTTTCTTCAAAAATCTTTTCATTCTCTTTCACTACCAGTAGCCCCTTACATCTTTGTGGCATTATCAACTTGCCTGGTGTGAATTGAAAAAAAAAAAATGTTCCCACATTTGGATAATAGATCTACCAAAAAAGATGAAAAATATCAGAACTTGGACACTAGTTTACTATGGATGATCTAGGAATTTGGT